AAGAGTTAAGTGCAATAAGTTGCAGAAAACAACTCTTTGCCGTCTGAGTCACACCTGAAGCACGCGCACAAGCCGCATCTCGCGCAGCGTCTCTTCAGTTTTGCTGCACACGTCCAAAGCGTGCGCGCACACACACACACACACACACACAGTTTTAAAGGGACAGCAGCCTATAAATATGTGCTGCTGAATGTCACTAATGTTAATCAAACAACAAAACAGCTATAACAAAGATTAATCTAAATGTAATTCATACAGTGAACACTATGCAGTGTTATTTTACACTTAATTATTAAATTTCTGTACCTCAGTACTACTGTTTATATTATCTATGCTTGTAAATTGTGAACTTCTTTTTTTTTCTTCTTTTTTTTTACTGTTTGTTCACTTGCCTTTAATCATGTTTGAACTTTCGCAGACTATAGTTTTTGCTGTGGTATGTGAAGAAGTACTTAAAGTATATGGAAAGCAAAGTTACAATGATATAAAATTAGTGTCATTATTTATTTATTTTTTTTATGTTCACACTGATGTTAAAATGACATTTTCTGATTTGTGACATTACTTTTTATGTAATGCTAAAACACTGCTGGTCACGTTCAGAGGTTGCAGGGATTCTTTCTTTTCCAAGAAAGAATGTGAAACAAATTGGTTACATAATTTTCATTTTTAAATATTTTAAAATATAATTGAAATTGATTTTACACACTTCGTAAAATCGTATCGCATATCGAATATCGCATTTTATAACAAGGTATCGCATATCGCATTTTTCTTCTATATCGCACAGCCCTAATAGATAGATAGATAGATAGATAAAGGTTTGGAACAACACTATATATATAGGGCTGGGCGATAATTCGATAACGATAATTATCGCAATATAATTTTCCTAGATAAAACGATATGAAGAGTTCGATAAATGTTCGCTATCATGTTTATGCACCATAAGCGGAACGAAACCGCGCGCCTCATTTAAATCACGATTCGCGCCACAAGGACCGTTTATCTGCTCGGATCAAAGTTCAAACCGGCTGCGTGCCGTGAGCTCACTAGAGCAGATGTGGATTCACATAGTGGACAGTTAAAATCACAGCTAATTGGTCTCTCTCTGTTTCTCTTTCCAGCGTCTGATTTAGAGCAGGATGCTACAGTGAAGTTGGAACAGGAGCGAGCTGAGATACTTGCCAAATATGACAAGGTGAGAGAAAACAGCTGCCATTCACTTACCTGCCAAATACCCTCCAATCCACTTCCAAGAAAAACAGAAACACCGTAAAGACATACTCTGATCCAACCAGATACCTCCTTCCATCATACAGTAGTTCACAGCCTGCGCACATCACGTTTGCTATAAGAGTTTTCATCTGGAAGATTCTCTGTATTCTTATCTGTTGCTAAAACGTTGTCTGTCAGATTTTAGCAGAGATTTCTGTTATGTTTCTGCTTTAGAGTGCCACAGAGAATTCTCTTTGTGTTATTGGTCAATAGGGCGTTAAAATATGATTTATTATAACGGCTATCATGTGAAACACCTGTTCACCAGATGTTGTGTATATCACTCATGTTGGGAGGCCAACTTTTATCCTTAGGTCATGTCTGGCATTGTATCTTTAAAACAGGCTTTCCCTTTAAAATACATATTGGAATGACGGCTTACAGGAAAGAAAGTGGCACTAAAAGTGAAATGAGACCTTATATTGCATGAATGCAATAATGATTATGTGGTAATAAATATTAACTCAGAATGTTATGACTTCCTGTGACCGTTCTAAGAGTAATGTGTGTTTTCACTGAAAGGTTTAATGATTTTTTTCCCCCTCGTGAAATGTCTTGCGCTTGTCCGGTTTGTAAATTGATCGCTTAAATTGAGTGTAATCTGAGCTCTCATTAGGGGGCTCTAATTCTGTAACGTGTCTGCAAACGACTACTCGACAACAACAATATTTGTCGACTATTTTTTATTGTCGATAATGTCGACTAATCGTTTCAGCCTTACTTACATTTTAGTACAATATTGTCAATGTGACTGTTTTTGCTCTTTTTTTTTTTATGAAAACAGTTCACACCATAAAAGCAGTGCGTGTATGATTCATGCACTAGCTATTTTTTTCAGAAGCCAAACTATCTTTATACAGACTGAAATGGAAGTCTTTATTCAGTACGAGTCTTGACATTGGCCATAGATCACTTGTGAATTTTTATAGACATGCTAAGAAGTTGAAATGTCTGATCCATGAAGAAATTGTTCACTTTAGTCTGATTTTTTTATTTTTTATTAGTTGATCCGTTTCACAAAAACGGTCGGAATAATTTGTTGACGGACTGATTCGCTGTCTTGTCACTAACATTGTTTAAATGTCAAATGTTAGCTAAATATTAAATGCAAACTACATGTAATATTGTTCTTGTGAGGTCATTTTATCAAGTGGCAAGATGAATAAATGCAGAAAGACATGAGAAAAAACCTTGGAGGAGGGGTACGTCCTTGGCGCGTGTCGCAGGCCGAAATATTTCCCACAGCCATGTCACTGTGACATGCTATCAGATTATCATATCCCACTGTAGATTTATGCCTGACACACACACCAGAGGGTGAGACAGAGATAAATGAGTGTGTGCGTGTGCCCTTGATATGGCTTCTCTCTGTACCAGTTTGTACTTGGTCTCAGATTCTCGTATACTCGTTCTTTTTTATGGCTCCCACTCTTGTTCTCACTTCTGCCGATTGATTCCTCCTGTTCTTTCCTCATTCTCCAGGCCTCCCAGATCTATTAAGACCTTCACATTTGCGTTACGTTTAAAATGTGCATACATTTTCTTGCCAACATGACAAAGTGCACATATTGCATAGACAGTTAGTTATTGGCCTGACAGGTTAATGACTTTTGGGATGAATGATTTTGTCAGTGGGTAAAGTGGGTAATCTTTCTTTTCGTCTTTTTACATCTTATGTGACGCATCTAAAATGTGACTCAAACATTGTCATTAGTCAAACTGTGGATGTGCACAGAGTACACAAACTATTGAAAATGTGTCTATTAATACTTATTCTTTTATTTACTATCATTATTAGTATTATTCATTTGTTTATAACATGTATTATAATTTATTTATTTATTATTTTGATTTATTTATATCATAATTATTTTATTTTTATTATTTATTTATTTTCCCCCCACAAAATAGTATACAATTTTAATATTGTTTTTTATCGGTTATATATCAAAATAACAGTGTTTTATCTGGAAAACTAGAGCAAGTACATCAGTAGGATGAGAAAAATACATTTAAATACAGTATTAACATTTTTATCAACAGGTTTTAATTAAGCAGCATAAGATAATGGAACAAACTACTCATCCATTATGATTTTTTGCCCTCGGTAGAGTTGACTGATTTCAGCAGAGTAGTGTTTTGTGATTTATCACAGTTAAAAAGAAATTCTCACTACAGCAACCCAGAAATCACTTTATTTCCTGTGTAGAACTGCAGAATATATAATATGTAAAATATATGCATGACATAGGATTAGAAAACAATATATAAAAGCATGTGGCATTAATTGTAAAGAAAGCTAGGGCACATGTCTGAACTTGAGCGGAATGGACTTCATACAGTATACATCTACTTAAAATCCCCTTGTCACCAGTTGGCTAGATGTAAATGCAAAAATGACTCAAATAAGTGACTTTTTTTTTATCACACATTTGTCATGACAGAAAGCACTTAAAAGTGTCAGGTTATAAAGTAATAATGAACATTGTTGCCTCAGAGGCCATTATGTTCTTGTAGAAGAAAAGCAGAGAAGATATTCAAAATTACCTTTTTTTTTTGGGGTGGCCTCCTAAATTTTAATATGGTTGTTAATCTAATACTGCTTTCTAGATCTCACTGAAATCCATTTTCATTAAAGTCCACTTAGTGTTGCCTTAGAAGAAACATTTAGGTGAGTTTTTGTCTCTTTCATTTAATTTATTGTACTGTGTGTTTGCACTTCGTCTGCTTAGCAAAAACATCTGGAAGTGGAGCGAACGACAAAATGGCTGAAAATGTTGAAGAGCTGGGAGAAATACAAGAACAGCGACAAGGTGCGTGTCCTTCATAAACAGACTGTAACTCTCTGAAGGACTTTGAGAAAGTCCGTTTTTCTCGGTCTTTCGTCTTGTGTGCGTAAATGGCTAAAGTTCCCTTTGGCTGTCTCTGTCCTGTGTATTGGGCGTCACTAAGAAAACCACTGTCCTGCTTCAACTGAACAAAATCTGTCGGTTTCTATCCATCTATGTGTTTGGATCTTCAGGCAGCTGTTGGCGTGTTAAATTGTATTTCTGTCCATTAGCAGTGTCTAGTGTGAAATGAAACTTTTCCATAGCGCCTGAGTTGGTGCGTGACAGGTGTGCAGTTTATTAGAACTGATTTCAAGAAGTTTATTCAGAGTAGAATTGATTATTACTTCTTCTTATTAGTCCAGTTACATCTGTTTAGACTGTCACACTGTGTCTGCACTAAAGGAGCATAAACAGCATCTAAAGCACAACAAAACTGTCTACACTTTTTTTTTTAGTAGCACTGCGCAGCTACTCCAGCTTCTTAAACTTTAGATTACAAATATATGTGTAGATTAATAGTATTTAAACTTCTGTATCTCTGTTAAAATAGTAGGAAACGAGGACAGTGACACATTTGACTGTTGCTCAAGCTTGAACCTAATTGGTCAATTGTTAGGGAATATTCAGAGGTCAGCTTCATCACTTGCAGTGTAGAAAACCTCAAGCTAACATCGGCTGCTTCTGTTGACATTCAGAGTCCTCTTATTGCGAAAAAAAATTACTGATGACATTACATTCATAGATATGATTTCATCAACAACGGAAATGCATACCATAATGAGCTGTAGCGACTGGCGGTGACCTGGATTTGCATGTGGACAATAACTGAAAAAAATGTTACTCTGAAGTGATTTGGGAAATTTGATTTCTCTTGATCTGAGGTGGAAGGTCTATACCCAGCTTGATTTCCTCTGGCATTCAGAATAGATTGGGGTGACCTCTGATCACTTTAACCACTGGAACCACCGTCTAGCTCACGCTATCATTGACGTTTCATTTGAACTATTTTGCTATTTTTCAGTATTTGGCCCAAGTAACAAGTCTTGCATTTTAAAGATGGTGTCGGTTCTCTCTCTCTCTCTCTCTCTCTCTCTCTCTCTCTCTCTTTCTCTCTCTCCCTTTCTCTGTCTCTCTGTTCCAGCGTGTGAGTTTAATTGTAGCTGAGAGACGATTCATGCCGGCCATTAGCTTTTGTGGTTTCAGCATTTTGCTTTTGAGCTTTTAATCTGCCCTCTGATGGGAGTTTAATCTTTACTGACTGCACAATTACCCGTGAGAGACACAGACACACAGATGTATTCCATTACTCTGATATTGAATGCGTTTAGACAGCGTGATGATTATCCATATTGAGGGTGTCCTAATAACCAGGCCAGCGGTATCTGTGGCCACTTCATTGAAGTCATATTATATATTGTGTATATAAACCCTGTTCCCCTTCTTTTTCTTTTCAATAGTTTGCATATCATGCTTTCGGTAACACCCTCAGTTCAGTTTAACATATTCCACCTTCGATTCATAGCTATTATTCTCCCAAACTCAGCACAGGAAATTTGGAAAGTCTGCTAATTTTGTCATCTGTCTCTGATACAGTTGTCTATATTCCAGATTGCAGAGACTTAATGACATGACACTTCTCTTAAATAAATAAATACAAAAAAAAGAAGGAAAAAAAATGTATTATTGTATAACATATATATATATATCAAGTCTCTGTACATACTAATTTTATTTTTAATATATATTTTAATTAATTTAATCAATTGTAATGTTTTGGGTGAAGCATAAATGGTGTGACATAATAAAGAAAAAAGTCTTAAATTAAGTAGTTTTGCGTAATTTTATTGTTTCATTTTAAAAATGCAGTTTTGTTCAAATGTTATTTATTCCAATATATATATATATATATATATATATATATATATATATATATATATATATATATATATATACACAC